GTAGCGCTGTGCCAAAACAATGTTTTCCAATTAGAACGTATGTGTGGAAGGTACAAAGTCTTGTTAAGGATACCTGCCAGGCCACTGTGGCTGTGACGCCCCATCCCGCCCACTGCAGACTCCCTGGGACCAGACTACCGTCTCTATCCCAGGACCATGCAGAGTCTGGTAGAGGGAGCGCTCCCAGCTCTCAAAGGGCACATAGCTGTCCCTTCTCCGGGCCACAGGGTGGAGAGGATATTGACGGTGTGTGCCTGACAGCACAAAACTGGCTCAGAAGTTTTTGACCCTCTATGATAGTTTTTGTCCAACCAGATCTCATGTGGGACTCTAACATATGAAAGATAAGAAAGGGGCAGCTCTGGCTGAGTGGCGGTGGGACCCTGGAGTCCTGGGGTTGTTCCCCGACCCCTTACCGCATATGACCTTGGCCAGCCCTTCGACCTTAGCCTCAGTCTACCCATTTGGACAAAGGGATGGCAACACGCTCCCTGGCGACTGCCAGGGCCACTCACTGTGAAGTTAGGAGCAGGTCCTGATGTACATGGAAGGTTTTATTAACTGTAATGTGCCATCCCAGGGCACGCTCTCTTCTTCATGGTGGTAAATCCCTCTCAAGGATAAGACACCTTGATCACGTCCTGCTATGAGGCACTAGGCAGAGAGCACAGCTCTGGGGTGTTGCATTAGGTGTGACTCTGGGAAGTGCTCACTGGAGCATCACACAGGGTGGCTGCCGGCACACTTCTGACTCGGTTGACTTAGGATACCCGAAAAGCATGCCCCAATCACAGGCCATCCCTGCCTTCCTCTTCTCTGTCTCAGGAGCAAGGGATGCAGCCTATGAAAATGGGACCTAGGAACCAATGAAAGGCAAACCTCAGCAGTCACCATTTTCAAGTGGACATTAAAGGTTCAGAACATAATGACAGCACTTGCCCGATGAGCTAACACTGTCTTATAAGCTGTGAACGCTCTACAAGAGCAGGTTGGGCACGTCAGGAGTGTGGCTGACAGTCGCTCATGTCAATTTGCTGGTTTTCAGCAACTAGGTTATGCAAGATGTTATTGTTGAAGGGAGCTGGTGAAGGGTGCATGGCACTTTGTGTAATATTTTAGCAACTTCTGAGTAAGTCTAATGTTATTAAAAACTAAAAAAGAAAGCAGTTGGCAACATGTATCAAAAGCCTAAGAAAGGGAACACTTGTAGGAATCTAGTCTAACAGTGAACAAAGGTGCTCATTGCAGTGTAACTGACAGATGCAAAACAAACAAAAATATCATGGGAACAACCAAAATGCCCAGCAAAAGGAAAATGGTAAAAATAAAAAAGATGAAACATTACTTGGTCATTAAAATCTTATTTATAAGTAATTTTTAATGACATGGGAAAATACTCTTAAAAATGTTTTCAAGCCCTGACTGGTTTGGCTCAGTGGATAGAGCATTGGCCTGAGGAATGAGAGGTCCCAGATTCGATTCCGGTCAAGGGCATGTACCTTGGTTGTGGGCACATCCCCAGTGGGAGGCGTGCAGGAGGTTTCTCTCTCATCGATGTTTCTAACTCTCTATCCCTCTACCTTCCTCTCTGTAAAAAAAAAATCAATAAAATATATATTTAGAAAAATTTTTTTCAAGCCTGGCTGACATAGCTCAGTGGTTGAGTGTCCACTTATGAACCAGAGGTTATGGTTCATTTCCCAGTCAGGGCACCTGCCCGGGTTGTGGGCTTGATGTATGATTCTCACTCATCATTGATGTTTCTATCTCTCTCCCTCTCCCTTCCTCTCTGAAATCAATAAAAATACATTAAAAAAAATTTTTTTTGAATATTTTTAGATGATATAGTACTGAATATATAGTTTGATTGCAGCTATTGTTTGGGAGTATGTACAATCCAAGCATCTGACATGCTTGATGTACACACAAAAGAAAATAGATTATAAAAGAAATATACAGCTAAAATATAGGTTCTAAAACATTTGCTCCCTGAGGACACCAACCTAATCTGTTTTATTCATTCCTGGATCTCCTGCATCTAGAACCACAGCTGGCACATAGTAGGTGCTCGCTAAACTGCATACTGAATCTTGGGATTCTAAAATTATGAGTAATTTTAATTTGCTCTTCTCCACAGGAGTAACCAAGGTTTCTATAAGCGGGAAAAAATAACAAGCTGGTTTTTAAGCCTTATAAAAGGCACAGTCTTTGTGGTTTCCTGAGATGTTTGCTCCTTCACGGGGGTGTGATCAGGGGCACCAGCAGAGCCCCTGGCATCTTCTGAAGCAGAACTACAGCTGCCAAGGACTGGGTGTTGCTGGGTCATTCTGACATTATTGAGAAAACAAGGAAGGGTGGAAGAAACCACGGAACAGGAAGGCAGAATCAGTAGCAGCTAACGTCCCATTTCCATTCCTCTCTCTCACTTTTTTTTTTTAATCTTCACCTGAGGATATTTTTTCCATATGTTTTTAGAGACAGTGGAAGGGAGGGAGAGAGAAACATTGATGTGTGAGAGAGACACATCGACTGGTTGCCTCCCATATGCACCCTGACTGGGGCTGGTGACTGAGCCTGCAACCGAGGTACGTTTGACCAGAATTGAACCGGAGACCCTTTCGTCGGTGGGCTGATGCTCTAACCAATGAGCAAACTGGCTAGGGCATCACTCTCTCACATTTTTACAGTCAGTACATGGTTTGTGAAGAGACGGCTTCCTCTCAGGCTGAGATGGTGGGTGTTACCTGTACAATACACAGTCTGCGCCGCGGTGGCTGCAATGATGCTGGTGAACCCCGTGCCCGCCCCGAGCTCCAGCACGGTGCGTCCCTGGAAGAGGTCCCGTTGGAACAGGATATAGTCAGCCAGGAACAGGGCACCCCGCCACACCTGGAGGGAGATGGACAAGGAAGGACAGGTGACGTGAGGCTCCGGAGAGACCCTTCAGGGCCACGGGAAGTGGATAGGACCTACCCACCTGCTTGCCAACATCCTCCAGGGGCGTGGCCATGGTGTGTTCTGGACAGGACGGAAATCAAAAGAGAAAGGGCCGCTGTGAAAATGGGGATGGACACAACACAGAGGAGGAGCATGGCAAGCTGCACACGTGATGGGATGGGCATTGGGGTCGGGCCTCTAGGGAGCAGCAGAAACACAGGCTGTGCCACTAGCTGGGAGGGGCATCGGAGCATCACTCTCAGTCCAGGCACGAGGGCCCCCCCTCAGAGAGCTGGGACCCTCTGCCCCACAGCCTGAGGACCAGGGTCACAATCGGCCTTGGCTCAACCTAACCACACACACCCACACTCCACTTTTCATGTTTAATAACTGTTTACTACAATTGTCACCCTAATGTTGTTTTGATCAAGTGTATGCTTATAACAATCACAGCTCATTCCACGATATTTCCTTACACTTAGAGCCACATGAGAAGTTGACAAAATAAGCTTTGAGTTTTACATCCTTTTCTGGGTGAAGAGAAGGATGTAAGAAGTATTCACAAGCACAAAATAGGTTAGGGTAAAATCTGGTGGTGGCAGTTGGGGGAAGAGAATAGAAATATGAGACCAAGGAGAAAAAGGAATGATGGCAAACATGTTTGCTGTTAAATAAGAACTGGCTCGTATATTTTCAAGCGAGATGGCAATGGCTATCAAATTTAAACACATAACACATGCACAGCAGGGTAGCTTCGCACACTTACTGGACGTGCAAGAGTCAAACCCCAAGCTCAGGACCGAGGGACTCGGGAGGGACTAAGGAGGGGAGGAGATAGCCAGGTTGGAAGGAGCGTGGGTGATGCTCCCCCCAGGAGGGCCTGCCCTAGGAGGTCCCTCAGGGATGGACACCTCCCCCGAGCCAGGCCTGGGGCTGGGACAGGGGATTTTACGTGACCCTCACAACGGCCCTTTGCGTAGTTATCACCAACCCGTTTTACAGATAAAGACACTGATGTTTCCATCTCTCTCTCCCTCTTCCTTCCTCTCTGAAATCAATAAAAATATATTTAAAAAAAAAAAAAAAGAAAGGTGAACTTTTGGCACCGGAAGACAGGGAGATGGGTGGGTGGGGAGCAGGCCACACACCAGCCCTTTCCTGTGAGGCTTGATCTTTAGCTTGCAGGATGGTAAGTTCCCAGAACACTAAACACATGCACACCAGAGGCCAAACACTTACGAAATAACCAAGTCTGCTCCTCTCTTCCCCTGACCACCCCCACAACCCCCGCAGGGAGGCCAAGTGAGGATTGAGAGTGAAATGAGCCAATGAGCCAGTCCCCCAAACAAAAGTTTGCAATGTTTTGATCACATACGTGGGTAAGAACACAGGCTGTGGCATCAGACAGACCTGGGTGTGAATCATGGCTCAGACAAGTTTAATGCCTCTGAGCCTCAGCTCCCTCCTCTGTGAAATGGGAATGTTCATCCTTGGAAAGGCCGTGAGGACCAGAGGTAATGCACAGGACACACAGAACAAGGTTCTGGCATGAGTTCCGTGTCTGGACTCGCTGGGACCAGCCTTCCTGGTGCCAGCAGGCACTTAATAACGGGCTGTTAACATGTGGGCAGGTGGCTGTCAGAGCCGCTAGTCTGTCTGTCTGTCTGCCTCCAACCAGGCCCAGGTTTATTTGGGTCCTCAAGCACCATCAGGGACCCTGGATCTCAATGAACAGACTCAAACCAGAGCTCCTCTCCCCAAAATGAGCAGCGCTGGGGGTGATGAGAGTTCTGGCTGTGCAGAGAGATCACATGGATTCATCGCCAAGCAGCATGGCCTTGGGCTTGTCACTTCCTCATCCGTACTCCCCTCAGAGGGGGCTGTGAAGACTACATGAGGTGATGTAGGTAAAATATCACAGCACGACAGGTGTCTAACCAGCACTGGCTCATTCCTGCCCCGGATCCATATAGACCCTGGCACTTCCGGGGATTTGAAATCCTGGCGTCACCAAAGCCCTCTGCTCCACCCCTGTGCCTGAGGTGAAGCCTCTTTCTGGACCCACGTCTCCTGCTACTCTGTCACCTCTCCTTCCCCACCTGGCTCCCAGCTCCCCGCTCCCGGTCCATCTGACTGGCCCACAAACTCTTCCAGATTAATCCTGGATCTACCTCCTTGCCCCTGTGCCACATTCTCGCTCCAAAATCTCTCATGGCTCCCTGGTGCCGGCAAAGCTAGCCCAGTGTTCCACACCCTCTCCCCCTGACCCACACCACTGGCCTGCCAGCTGGGTCAGAACATCAATGTGGGAGGCAGAAAGCGGAGGGCGTCCTGGAGGAGGTGATGGAGAACGCTATGATTGCCTGGCCCGGGCCTGAACACGGAGCCAGCCTCAGACACGTGACCTGATCAGTACTGTGGTGCCCCCTTGGTGGCAGACGAGCAAGACCTTCATTTACCTATTTTGATGATATTGTGGGTGCTGCTCTCCTGTGCTTTGTCTCCCAGGACGTCCTCTTCTTCCTGCGCTAGAATCATGGGGTGTACCTTGTCTCTCGGAGGCCATACAGGGTCGGGGTCAGAGGCAGCTCGTGGTCTTCTCACAACATCCAAATCCCCATCCTCGTCCAGCTGAGCTCCCGTCCCTTCCTGTCCAGCGGCGTGGACACCGGCCTGGAGGGGGAAACCTGCACCGCTGTGGCCATGCCCAGGAGGGGACCCGGTGCTGCCTGTCCTAGCCGGAGTCTCCTCTATGGGGACATCTCTATGATCACCTCCCATGGTCCCCGAGTCTGTCTGAGAGTCCTGGTTCCACAAAAGCTTGAACTGGGACAGAAAAACTGAAAGACAAAACACAAAAGGAGACTATTTCTCTCTCCCTTCCTCTCCTTTCGGAAAACTTGATGTCTGACTTCTAGAAAGCATGGTAGAGGCCAGGGGGAGGCATACGCATGCCAGTGGGAAAGGCCTGTTTGACTCAGCCATGACACTAGGGACCCCACAGCAGCCGCAACCACCACCGAGGATGACAGCTACTTAGTACATTTGATGAGCATCGACAATGGAGGCACTTCGCCTACATTATCTCACTTCATCCTCACAGTGGCTATGAAGACAGCAGTAATGGCTCAGTCTAAGGGACATGGAAACTGAGGCTGAGAAGTTAAGTGAGCCCACAAGGCCACACAGCTTGGAAGGTGGCTGAGGCGGAGGCAAGACTCACACCTGGTCTGCTGGTCTCCTCAGCGGATGCCCTTCTCACGACACTCTTCCACTTAAGGTCTGGAGGACAGGACAAGGATACCAAGTGTCCCGCACCACCCGGTGGCCAGGAAGTCACTGGGACAAGTTTCAGTAAGAGGATGTGTGTCAGGAGAGGCGGGCTGGAGGCGGGAGGAGCAAGGACTTGGGTGGACAGTCCTAGGCTGGAGTCCTCCATCTCCCCAGGCTGCCTGACCCTGGGCAAATCACTTATCTATTCTGAGCCTCGGTTTCCGGAATCCAGGAATCCACACTGAGACACGAGGGAAGGGGAAGTTCTTAGTCACACCAGAGTAACAAGCTAATTGCACAGTGATTGGAGGTGGGAAGGGTGGCCGGAGAGGGTCCGTCTGACGCGACATCTGGGGAGCCAGGGCGAAGAGGAAAGAATGTTCTGGGCAGAGTGAACAGCAAAAGCAAACGCACTGAGGAAGGAAGGTGTGTGCAGTGTGTCACGGGCAGAAAGGAGCGGAAAGTGGGCACAGAGCGGTAAGGGAGAGGGAAATAAGTGTGGACACAGAGGCAGGGGCTCGGCGAGCTGGGCCTTGCAGGCTATGCCAAGGAGCCTGATTTTACTCTAGGAGCAAGGGGAAGCCACTGGAGGTCTAAATCAGGGCAGCGATGTGATCTACATTTTCAAGAGATCCCTTGGTGTCTGGGGAAATGAGTGGGGGAGAGTGCAGGGGAAAAGCCAGGGAGCCCTGGTGGGAGGAGCTAGAGGCAGCCAGCAAGGGAGGAAGAGTGCTGGACTGGGGTAGGGGCAGAGGGGATGGAGGGCGGTGCCCAGGAGCCCCAGGGCCCTGTCTCCCTGTTGGACTCCAGGCAGAGCTCGGCCCATTCACTTCTGCCTGGCACCCAGCAGGTGCTCAGCAAAGCAGTTTCCTCAGGGAAAGAAAGCACTTAATAGTGTGATGATAACAGTTCGTCCAGTCTTCCCAACCTTTCCCCCCAAAATGAGTCTGAGAAAACACACTGGGGTCCACAGGGAGCCAGGCCCCTCCGCACACACCAGGCAGGACCTTACCGGGCTGCCCCATGCTGTTCAGCCGCACCATGAGGTGTCTCTGGTTGGGGGTGTAGAGGTGGACGTCGGAGAGCACAGTGTCACTTTTGAAGGTGACCTCGTCCATGGTGGGGTGGGAGCAGCTACCAAGGCCCGGGCTCCGCGCTGATTGTCAAAGAGCAGCACCTGCGGTGGACAGCAGGCCCCACAGGGGGCGGCACAGAGTAACTCCCCAGCCAGGTGGTAGCAGCGCGGTATCACCTGGGGGAAGCGCTTTCCTCTTTCCTTCTTTTAAATTTTTCCTAAAGAAACTGGCTGGGAGCGCGCCCCTTTCCCGGGCTCCGCACCGTCCTGGGATGGGGACAGCAGCCTGGTCCCAGGGAGTCCCCGAGCCGGGCAAGGGCAAAGAATCCGCGCAGAATCGTGCTATTTTGTTTGCACTGTGTTCATTGTCGTGGTAATCTCTAATGTTCGGCATAAAGTTTCCTTTCCCTTTTAACTTTTTCCAAGTTTATTATGAGGATTTTTAAGCATACAAGGAAGTTGAGGGTATGACATGTAAGCACATACTCACTGCTTAGTGATTCAACGACCATCAACATTTTGTCACGTGCTCGCTCTGTCTACCCGAGGCTTCAGGGCCGAGGTGGGATTTGAACACGGGACTTGGTGCCAGGAGACCCCGCCCCTTCCCTCGCCCCACCACCTCTCCCACAGGCTTACCCGCTCCGGGCCGGGCCGCAGCCCGGAGTCCCACCCGCCCCT